CAACTTGGATAAGATTATTAAATTATTAAGTGGCAGAGCCAGGACTCAAACCCAGGTCTGTATGGCTCCAAAGCTTATGTTCTTTAACATTTTGCCATACATCCAAATTATCTCATAAAGTGCCTTCTCAATTTTAAGGAGGGAAGTGAAACTGAAATATTTCATTGCTAGTAACTAATGTATTTGCTTAAAATAGGTCAAATATATAAAAAAATAGTTATGTCTTATATGGATACATTTTATACTAAATCTGTTTCATAAAATGCATATATTATGTTTTTTAACTCTACATTTTATAAGAATTAAAATTTATAGTTATTTTATCTTTGCTTTTATGTTATTTCGTACTAAATTGATAAACTGGACTATATGAGATCTGCTAATTGTTTCAGATTAATGATATGGAAAACTGTATCAATTCTGACGTGCAGGAGGGCAAGACAGCTAATGCCAAGTATTAAAATGCAATTGATTGCTTGCATTTTATATTATGTGAATTGGGGAATCAGATATACAATACATGTATTTGCACAATTGTATCCCAATGCTTTAAAACTTGTTACCAACCAAAACACATAAACAACTGAGCTCTCTCACACTTGTGCATTACCAAGAGACCACCAAGATGTCACTGTTGTACACTGTAATCTGAATCACTGGGTCTAAAGCATCTGGTCTGCACTTGCCAAACCGGGGGTTTCCACGTCACCCAACATTCACAGCCTGGTATATCACATGTCCCTGAGCACGGAACTCAAGCAAATCTCGTTCATGATCACAACAGTATGAATTTTTTAGTATGGGACAAATTTTTAAAAAATCTTTGCAACAATTCTGCCATTCTGACTTCTGATAAATGAATGACCTGCTACATTTTTGATCAATCTCTAATGTCCCTGGTCAAGAGTGCACATCCCAATTATGCCACTCTCCTTATATAAAAGATAAACTCATTGTGATTTCCAGAAACATATTTTTAAAAAGGCAAAGTCTGCCTATGCTTGTTTATCTTTTTATGTTAAAATTTAAATGTACCAAATAAATTTCACATTTTGGATCAACCCAATTAGTACAGGAAGAGCTGCTAAAATAAAGCAAACTTTCCTAAATTTTAGTTTAACAAAAACTGACATCCTATATCATAATCACTGAAAACAATGAAGTGTTCAGTAATGTGTCACAGTTATTACTGACAGTTGACATGAAACAATACCTGTCCTCTCCTCAGATCTTCACTTGGGGGAAAGAAAAAAACCTGAAAGGTGGTAGAAATGAAACAGGAGAAGGAAAAGAAACTTAATAAAACATTTTTTTCCAATATCAATGATCATACTTTAATAGAATGTTTTTTCCTACACACAAAATATAAGAAACCTGGTATCAATATAGTAGAAATACTATAGAATTTGATATGATCTTTGAAGATAAAAATGGATGCACATCCACTGAGGATGGTTTCCAACACACGGGTCTCAATTTTTTATAAAGGAAATTATTTATATAGTTACTATTTTTAATGCATTATAGGTACTAGCTATTTAAAAGAATGCAAGGCAGCTATTTTCATACAGCACATTTCTATAAAGGAAACATAACCTTAATTTTATTATTTTTGAAAAGTGTTCATATTTATATTCACTCTCATTTATCCTTTATTGAAAACTGAGAAAAAGTGGCACTTGAGGTCAGGCTTACGATCCAGTAAATGCTATCTCTGACAGCAGTGGCAAGGACTTTACAGAATAGTCACAGTCCTTGATATCCATCGCCTAAACAGATACTCAAAAACATACCAGCATCTTTAAATAACCCATTAAAAAGTCATGAATTCAGCTAGACTACTTAGGAAGCTATTTTGTTTTTAATCTTGTACCAACCTTGACTGCTTACATAGTACTTTCTTTATTATCCTAAATTTGCTTCTTTAAACATTTGGCCTAGTTCGAGCCTATCATGTTCTGACCCACGTTTGAGTTAACCACAAGGGTTTTTTTGTTTTGAGCACCATGAAACCTATGTGAGGTCTTAAAGCAGGAAGGCCATGTAAAGGAATGAAGAAACTGCCTGTACTTTCAGTGAGGTACTCAGGTCTTTTAAGATTGTTCATATTTCAATGTAAGATTAAAATAAGAACAGAAAGAAGATTGATAATCACCCTATTTCTGACCATTATAATTCATTCAGTGGACACCTATTAGGTCCATAATACATATGTGCCAGGCACTGTGTTAAGTGCTGAGGATACAGAGGAAAAGAAGTCTCTGCTTACAAGATTTCACAATCTACTAGGAATGAGACCACAAGTGTAAATTCCTATAGGGACCGACCCTGAAACCTTTCAGCCTGGAGAGAAAACATTTAATGTATTTTACTCAAGTATATGACTTTCAAAAATACCCAATTATATTCTGGTAAAATATAATTACTCTCTGATAAGTACTCCTTACTGGGGAGGAAAGAGCATAATAGTAGGCATAATAATAAGTCCAATATTAGACTTGTGAATGAAAACTCTTGACCTTTTCCCTTACTGGCTTCAATTTCCAAAGTTGTATCAGAAGTAATTTACTTGACACAGCTGAACAACCAAAGGCAAAATATCTACAGGCAATTTTAAAAAATCTTTCTAAAATTAATCTAGGCAACACTAGCTCTGTGTGACATACCTTATGCCAGAGTATCAAGAAAATTCTTTGAACATGGCAAATTATGGAATCCTATCTGCCAGGTTCTGGAAACCATGACAGTAACTGAAATAACTAGGCTTTAACAAGTGAGATCGCTTATAAGATCATAACTGTTTCTGAAAAATACATGACCTCTAACTACTGGCTTATTTATTTATACCCTAAATTTTTCCACAAAGGATTTGAAGCAGCTACCCTTATATAAAGCGAAGCACATGAATTATATGCACCTGGCTTTGAATTATGGCTATGCCACTTACTATTTATAATCTTTGTGCCCTTAACTTCTGAAATTCAGTTTCTTAATCTGTAATAATAAGGACCATGATCCTACTATGTTGGGTCATAGGAAGGATAAGATCAAATAGCACGTAGCACAGTATCTGGCATATAGTAGGTGCTAAATAAATGTCAGTTTTGTGCTTTCCTTATCCAAATGTACGCCGTGTAGAAAAAGGATAAGGTGGAATTTTAAATGACTTTTTAACACAATGATACGTGCCAAGCAGAAATGTGGACTGATTATGAGTTGCAAATGTTACCGTTTGCATGTAACAATCAGGATCAAAGCAAATGCAATTCTTTTTCACAAGGTCAGCACTTTAAGAACATGTTATTAACCTTTTAGCTATATTAATTAACGCAAAAAAATCTGAAGGAGAAAAATGAAAGGAAAGAGCCCAATGGCATACTGATTTTCACACTATCCATTCAAAGAATGATTAAACATTCTAAACTCAATTTTCTTATAAAACAGCTATAGAATTAAACGAGCTAACATAATTTTAAATGTAATTCTGCTAGTCTTCAAGAACGTGACTTCCTTTAAAAAATATTCAGGTAACTTAACTCAATATCTTTTCTATTCAAGAGCTGCGTTTAATTTAGGTTTTTAAAATATGGTCCAAGTCACAAAATCCCAAGTACCAGTCGGAAGCACTATTACAACTCTGCTCACGTTAAGGAGAACAAATAAACATTTTAAACAGCAGTGGAGGTGACTAGGAAAAAAACTGAAAAGCGATTTGAACTGATCCCCCTCCCCCTCCATTATACCCGAGAATGCAAGTGTCCCGCATCTCAGATCAAACTGAGCCTCGGTCTTACTGACGTAACCGGTAACCCTATCCACCTCTCACACTGCGGAGGCCGGCAGGGCAGCGGCTGCCGCCAAGTACACCACTCATCGGAGCCTGCCCCATTCCACCCCCGCGTTTCAGTCATGCTTTCCAGAAATGGGGTCACTCACTAACTATTACACACACGCAGCCTATCATCCTGTAATCTCCCAAAGTCCGCTGCGGGGATAGAAGACAGCAAAAAGTCAAGAAGGAACAATCACAGACAAGCCACCATCAGGAATTGATTTTCCACTTCGGAGAGGAGCGCTGATGCCCAGGAATGGGTCTTGTCTGGATTATTTTCACAGACCCCGAGTTGGTTCTGGGACAGGGGCGGCCGCGAAACCTCGATGCAGTGTTGTGTCCAGGGAAATTCTGGTCTGCCGTGTTTGGGTGTTTGGCACTCGGTTGGGTGTCTCAGAGACGGTCACCCCGAGCGAAGAAAACCTCAAAGCCCTTTACGGCGGCTGCTGATCGCCTTGAATATCACCCTCTCACCTCCACGGACAGGAAACTCAAGTTAAAGCTCCTAGGGACGGGGTCCTTGAGCTCAGTGACCTCAGAAATGGGGGAGGGGGGGAGGACCTCAGGCTTCCACTTTCCCCCGTGCACCAGCAGAAACCGCTGCGGCAGATAGACTAGGGGAAGGCAAAAACCCCCCGCTGTCCTACACCCCTTAACCGAAACCCCCACAGGTCGCCAGCCCTGCCTTGGGCCCCCTTCCAGTCCCCGCGCGCCCGACTCACAGCACCAACTCTCTCCCCTGGCCGAACTTGAGAGTCCCTGCTCCCCGGTGAACCCAATCCATACCCCTCCCATACACCCCAAAGTCACCAGGATCCAGGGGAGCCCCCAACCAGGCAGGGCCAAACTTCCCAACTCCTCTCTGGCCCCCGCTCCGCTTCCCGCTCCCCCCACGCAAAGTTGATTAAAATCGGCTTCTTGCAAAGCCCCAGCGCCCACTCCAAACCCCACGCGCCGCCACACCACAGCCCCCCGAGCGAGGGAGGGGAGGTGCGGGTGAAACAGAAGGGCAAACAGACCAACCCCAACTACCCAAACCGGAATCAGGGACCAAGGGGAGACGCGAGCGGCAGAGGAAGGGGCCAAGTGGCCAGCTCCAGGGAGGGGAGCTGGCCGGCGGGGGCGAGGGGAGGGGCGCACCAGCCCCCGGCCGCCAGGCTGCACTCACCTCAGCGCTGTCGGACGGGCTCTCCACAGCCATCTTCTGCCACGGGTCCGCCAGCTGCGCCAGCGGCATCTTCCCCCCCGGCCCGCCGCCTTCACCGCCTCCTCCCTCCCCGCCCGCCCCGCGGCCGGCCCCGCTCTGTCGCCGCCCGAGCCCCACGACAGCAGCGGCGGCGGCAGCAGCAGCACCAGCGCCGGCTGCCCGGGAGAGGGCTCGGCGCCGACACCGACCCTCGAACGCCGCGCGCCTGGCTGGAGATGTCCTCGCGCCGCTGCCGGGCACCCGGTCTCGCCCCTTTCTTCCTCTCCTCCTTCCGCCGCCGGGACTACAGCTCCGCCCCCCCCCCCCCCCCCCGCCGGTTCCCGCGCCCGCTCCCAGCAGAACAGCGGCGGCCGCGCGCTCCCCCACTTCCGCTCACAACATGGCGCCTAAGCGATACCTGTCTCTCAAAGCGAGGCTCTGCTGCCGCCGCCACCGCCGCGCGCACTCGTGGGCGGGGCTTAGGAAGACACGCCCCCGGCCGCCGCGCTTTGCCCCTCCCTCCTTCCTCGCCCCAGCCGGAGCTTCTGGGCCTCGCCTACTTTCAGGAAGGGCGAGCCGGAGAGATCTGGGGGCGTCGGCGGACGGTGGGGGAAAGAAGAGGGGAAGGGCAAGAGGAGCGAAAGGCTAAGAGCCTTTTACTGCCAAAGGTCCGAGCAGATCGGAAGCTACTTAGGGATGTAGAGAACAGTGGTCCCCGCCTAGCTGGGGAGACGGGAGAGGTGCAGTGCGCGCAGTCCGGTCGGTGCCAAGGACCCGGGGAGGGAGCGTGGGGTGTCTTTTCGGTCTGCCTCCTCGGTGGGTGTTTGTGGGCGCGTCATGTCTTTGGCACATCCTTTAATGGGCCAGCACCCGCCCTATCCAGGCTCACACGCTGGGCATTCACCTGCCCCCCACTCCTTAACGCCCCCGACGACGGGGACACATAAGGCTTTGTGCCCTGGAGTCCTCTGGAGGTTCGGCTCTCGGTTTGATTCAAGGCTCTCCAAATCGAGGCTCTTGTGTTGTATTTTTAATGTTTGGAATTTTTTTTGTCTCGCTTGAGTCGCCCCCCACCCAAAGTCTGCAGAACCCTCAGGCATCAGCCTCGACTCTTGAAGTCCTCCACTCCCTGGTACCTATACCTGCACGAAGAAACCAAGCATGTTTCTTGAGGCCGCCCCTCGCGGCGGAGGTTGGGGAATTATTTTAAAATATATTGGTTGGCAGGAGCCTGGGGTTCCTGCTCCTCTTGTTGACTTTAAATAAAAGATTAGATTTGAAAATCAGGCTGGCCAAGGGTGGAAGAGGGAGAGTGAGGGAGGGGCCCTAACTCCTCCTCCGGCCTAAGATAGGGAAGCCCTGGGTTAAGGAAACCCAAGCCCCAGAAGGCAACGGAATCCAGAAGGACGGAGTGTTTGTGGGGAGAGGCTGGGGCTCCTGGACTGAGTCCTGCCAGGGGTGGGGCGTTCTACCCCGTGTTCCCCGAGCCAGGTGCCTTTGGAGCTCGGTACGCGTGGGCAAAATTGGGTAAAAGTCTCCGGGCTGAGTGGAAAGCTACTGCAGCCACCCCCCCTCCCCCCAAGGAGAAGGAAAAAAAGTAATGGGAAATCTCCAGGCTGGCCAGAGTGCCTTCACCCCTTCAGGCCTTGGCCCAGGCGTCGTAGTCCTCCCACGCCCAGCGGCCACAACGCGTCCCCCGCTGCGCTTCCGGTGCACGCCTTTTAACAGCTCTCTTTCATCATCCCGGGACCCAGACACCTGGAGAGCCCTCGTCTTCCTCCCTAACGCAGGTGTGAGGTTGAGATTAGAGCCCCACACCTAGACTGCCAGGTCTGCGCGGGCGGTGCAAGGTTTCTCGCTGAGCCCGAGGCAGGTGTTGGGATCTTTCTGCTACCTTCGCCTGCGCGCCCTCTGGATCAAGCTTGAGGCCCAGGAGCCTCGTGGCCACCTGAAGGGGCTACATCTGTTTAGGGAACCTGAGTACGGAAGTCCTTGCTGCGCGCCCTGTCTCGCAGCCTTGGACTCAGGGGGACAGCTCAGGGTTGAGCAACATCTGGGTAGGCTCAGCGTGGTCTGGAGGGTGGGGAGGATTTAGCTCGTGATTTTGTCACCTCCCCCAACATGCTTGACTCAAGTGCTGCACATCCAGTCTGAACCCAAACTCAGCTAATTTGGTAGTACCGTCTCCGTAATTCCTGACAATAAAAGCAGTTCACAGAAGTTCAGGATAAGGAGTGGTGTATTGTTTTGCATTTATCTAGGAAGTGCCTAATGTATCTTTCATTTACATTGCAAAGCCACATTACATTCCTTATAGCGAAAAGAAGTTGGTCAGTGTAGTTAATTTAAGGTAAATTAGCCCCTAAACAGCGATCAATTATTCCAACTAACATTCTTGCTTGGGTAAAATCATACATATTTAAGGAGACAGTTATGTGTCTTAACACTGCCCCTTGCGAATTACTCCACTGTAAGGGTGAACTAACCTTTTTAAAATCAAATTGTTTACTGAAAAGTTGATTTCAGCATCACCTTTTATTCTTTTTACCTTGAGAGCTTGAAGAATAACTCCTAAAACAAAGTTAATGTCAACAGTAGTCACGTTGCAGGAATGAAGCATGAAACGGACTGTTACTGGGCTGCGTACCACTAGCACGGCTGTCTTGCACATAGGATCAACCTGATAAGTATTCGTGAACTGATTTAGAAAAACACCATTCTCCTTCCTTTGGCCCAAAGAATAAAGCATTTTTTTTTCAGTTAACAAACTGTTTTCATTTATGTATTTTATAAATACAAGAGTGATGCAAGAATTTGGGAATTTGGGAAAATCAAATGAGGCTGGGGGAAATTTCTCATAGGTGGCTGCAAAAAAGAGTTATTTGAACAGAGAAGCTGATATTAGCCTGAACAGGATTACCTTTTTTCTTCCCTGTTTAAGAAAGGAAAACTCTTAAGTGTAGTTATTCCAAGAATAGATGCCTCTAGAGATCACCCTGTGCAGGCTAATATGGTAGCTACTAGCCACCCAGGGCTCTTGAAATACTTAAAGTAAGACTGGCTGATCACAAATGAGACGTGCTGTAAGTGTAAAGTTCACACCAGATTACAAAGACTTAGCACAAAAAAAAAAAAAAGAATGTATAGTAGCTCAGTAATAATTTTTATACTGACTACATGTTGAAACAATATTTTGAAAATATTGAATTAAAATATTTCATTAAAATTCATTTCACCTGTTTCTTTTTACTTCTTCACAGGACTACTATAAAATGTACACTTATATATGGGGCTTACTTGTCAAGACTGGCACTATAGTTCTAGAGGACAACACTGCTTTAGAACTTTCACATTGAGCCTTTTATGTCCTAATATAATGTTAAGTGATGTCCTCACATCCTACTGTCTTTTTGGGCTGCTTGGTGTATAATTCTATGCTCCCCATCCCCCTGCATAAATCTCTGTCAGAACCAAAATATTGGAAAGTTATTACTTGAAGCTACAGCAAAAGGAAATAGCAAACCTCAGTCGAAAATCTGGACTAGATTTCCAAGAAATCATTCCTGATGTATGACAAGACAACCAAATTTAACTTCCTCTGTCCAACAATTTCCTGCTATAATTATAACCTTTGTATACAAGTTTAAATGGGCATTTACTTAACAAAATAACATTCATTCAAACAATGGAGTTCCATCAGTCTGGAAAAGTTACAAGATGACAAACTATGGCTCACAACACAATCTCTACCTTATATACATCCAGAATTCGCAGCTCTATTACACATAGCTTTGTTATCACTATAGAAAATCCATGGAGTGTAATCATCATCACCTCTCTGGAACGTCTTTCCCTTTACGTTATCTGAAGAGTATTTATTTTTCACACACACAAAAAAAGAAAAAATAATTGCTAGAAACTATTTCACAACTTCTTTACAGAAAGAGAGAAAGGTAAAACTTAGGCTCACATTTTATCTCCCATAAGACAATAATCAAACACAATACATGGTGACATACCTTCCATGTGTATGAATTTTGTGTTTTTTAAGTTCCCGAAGAAACCATTAAGAATGTTTTCTTGATTGACACACATCTTAAGAGACAACAGGAATTTATACATGACACACATCTTAAGAGACAACAGGAATTTATACATGACACACATCTTAAGAGACAACAGGAATTTATACATCTATTTGAACATTTTAGTTGGGAGAATTCAAATTTTGGAAAATGTAAGGATCTTCCCTAGGTTCCCCTCAAGATATAAAGTTCAATGGTTCTAGAGCTGCCTATGATGAAAGATGCTCATATACTCTATAAAGAACTAAGGGGAAGACATTCCATGATACAAATACTTGAAGTGCTTCTTTAACATTCTTCCCAGTAAGGCAATATGGGATCATGATAAGAGCTGAGACAGGCCTGTGCCCAAACTGGAGCTTCCTTTATATCGCTGAGCTTCAACTTGATGGCCTAGAACAGGGTCTGGCACATAGTAGTTGCTCAATAAATATTTGCAGACTAAGCTTTGTTTTCCTCATTTGAAAATAAGGATGATAATGATACACACCTGGGAAGACTGATAGGCAGATTAAGTGGAAACAATGTCTGTAAAGCATTCAGCACAGGACCTGCCACATAGGAACCACTCAATAAGTGGAAGTATTGTTATCAGCTTTAGAAAGGGAGTATTCCTGCATATATAATGTAATTCAAATACTTCACTCAAAAGTTACTGTTGTGTGAGCATTTTATTATGGTATAATCTACTTCTTTAGTGCATTCTTGTATCACAAAAAATGATACGGTGAGTAACTTCCTGTGGAATTCAAATAAAAGAGCATATAGGGTCACTTACTGCTCTGTTTTTCAAGCCACATATGTTGAAATGCAAATGATTACAGGTCAGTTGCCTCATAGGCTATGATCAAATCTTTGTTTATGTAATGCTCAAAAGAAACTACCCAAGGTCTGATTCAAAGTTAACATTACCTGACTCATGGAGGGTGGATGGGAGGAACACGGAAGTATGGAGAAGAGGTCTGTGTCAGACATGCTTTAATGTTTTCTTTTATTGGT